CTATCCCCGACACCACCTCGCTCAGCACAACCCAAACCACACAAGTCGCTCCTTCGCGCTGGCGCAACTTCGCCCAACCACTCAAGATCATCCTCCAAACCTTCGAAGACGTCTCCACCAAAAACGAAGACTTCTGGCAAGCCGTCGCACCCTACTTCGAGCGCAAAGAATACCCCGCTGGCACCGTCCTGTACTCCCGCGGAGACGACCCAGACGGTTTCTACATCCTAGAGAAAGGCCGTCTGCGAACGGAATACGAGCTTGATCAAGGCAGCTTCTTCGAAGTCATCTTACCGGGTACTACATGCGGAGAGCTGCCGTTCTTCTCCCAGACCGATCGCACTGGCACAGTGGCCGCGGAAAATGACTCCGTTGCTTGGCTGCTCACGCGTGAGAAGTATAACGAGTTGGAGAGGAAGGATCAGGAGGTTGCGACTGAGTTGCTGAAGGTGGGATTGAAGCTGACCAAGGAGAGGATGGATGCCATCACGAGTTATGTGCTTGTTACTGCGTCCTAGATGAATATTGTATGGTGGGATGTAGACGCGACGTTTTGTACATGGGTATCTTTGCATAGCGGTGGTTGTTTGTGAACGTAATGTCATCTTGATGGTACGTCTAGCTTTCTGTTGTGCTGAACATGTTGTCACAGTGAAACAGTCGAAAGTGATAACCCAATTATCTCGATACAGGAATGACGAAACACTATGAAAACATCCCAGCATCTTCCATAAGACAGCACGGCAACCGCCGTCCACCATCTCCCAAACCCAATCGCAAACGCCCTTCTCCATAACCCCCATACACCTAACCGTGACCAAACCCCCCCAAACCCCACTTTCACACCATAGTCTTCTTCCCCCTATGCCGCCCCTCCCAATTCTCATACCCCCCATACTTCCCCTCGCAATCAGGATTCAGGCCTGCCCCCCTCCAACGTAATAAGCGGATGCGTACCATGGTAGTCAAGCCTACAATATCTCCTTAGCTTTTGTATTCAATAAAGAATACTGTATTTAGCTTCAGACTTACGTAGTAGCAATAACACTCGGACAATTCGTAATCAGCCTCCCGTCCCAGTACTCAGAGCACCCGCCGTACCCGTAGTGGTCCTTGTCATGCTGGTGGTGGTTGTTCTTGTGCTTGCGGGGCTCGAGGTCAGACGCCATGGTGATGAGCGTCGTGTGTGTTGCGGTGACGATAGGGGCGGCAGTGGTGGGAGCAGGAGGATCAGCGACGACGACGACGGCAGAGGCAGCGGTCATGCGCGGCATCGCCGTAAAGTTAGGCGTTGACGGCACCGCAGGAGTCGGGATCGAAATGGGGCCGGCGAAGGCAACGGAGGCCAGGGCCAAGGGGAAGGCGATGAAGAGGCCACGCATTTTGGTGGTGGTTTGGTTTGGTTTGGGAGTAGTGCGGAAAGCTGTTGTGAAGTAGACTTTGCTTTTGAAGATAGTAAGTAAGAGGAAAGAAGAGAGAGGAGGGATGTGTTATATATGAAGTGTTGGCATGCGCAAAAGGATTCCACGAAAGTTCAATCCATAGTTGAGCTTTGCGTGGTATCACTTCCAAAGGGAAGTACTTGAGGCTCGACCATGGGATATCGCGAAGGAGTAATGCGACGGGTGGATATGAATCCAATAACTATAGTTCAAGCGAGCATATTGTTGCGCGAAAGAACCAAGGGGTTCGCATTGTACATGGAACGAAGTAGAGAGGCGTGCAGCCTACATCAAGTCAAAATCATGCGAAGTAGATATCCTAAAGTCAACGTAGGCTCCAGGATGCCCACTGTTTCCTTTAAACTAAGGTGGCCTGCAGCTTACATCAAGATAAAAACACGCAAAGTGGCCAACCTCACGTCAACGTAGGCTCCTAGGGTGTTCACTCTCGTCTTTGAAATGAGGTGTGTTGAGAGAGAACTACGGTTCAGAACCAACGAACACACGGGTATCGAATCACGAATCATCACCACATCATCCACCACCTCACCAATGCCGCGCAATAACCAGCCAGCCTCTCTCCTTGACCGCATTGAACAGCACCGCGACCCGCTTCCGCTTGATGCCCTCTCTAGCCGACACATCCTCGATCGCATGCTTACCATCTAGATGCCTGAGCAGCATGGGCCAGCTCTCTCGCAGTTCTTTACCAGTTATGCCACCCAGCGCGCCATCTGCGTGTTTCGGCGGACTGGGATTCGTTGAGATGATCGCCGTCTCTTCGAACGTCTGAGCGATCTTATCGAGCCACCGCGCTTCTATCGACGATGCTTTTTGCGGAGATAGGATGGTGGTGGGTGCGAAGGACGATGGGTCGGGTGGGGCCAGCTTCTCTACCGGAGATGTGGGCGAGACTATCGAGTTGCGCGATGGAGATGGGGAGGTTGGCTTGAGATGTAGAGGCGACGGGCGATGGGGCTTAACATCCCGAAGCCCAAGATGAGATGGCGACTCCGCTCTCTGCGACGGAGTGAGCGCAATGGTCGTGCGTTGACTACTCGTACTTCCAGCGTCCGAACTCGTGCGCGCAGAAACGCTACGCGACATGGCGGTCGATCCGAGTCGTGGGCTTAGTATCGTACTGCTCTCCATCTCCTCATCCGCATCCCTGCGCGTGCGGCGCAAAGGCGATGAAGTCCTCGCGGAGTTTAGCGAAAGCAAGCTGCTTCGCTTGTCGGAAAGCAGACTATCCGCCACCGAGTCGTTGTCGCTCATCAATTCTCTGCGCGCCTCTTCAGCTTTCTTGATACGCTCTTCGCGCTCCATCTCCGCTGCGACTTGCGCTTTGATCTCAGGCGTTACGCGCACCCAAGCGAATGTGCGCAACTGCGTGACCCAGCCGCCACGCATGAGCCACGCTAGAATCTCCATGTACGCTTCGCGATGTTCGGCTGTAGGTATGAAGTTCCTGTACGGCCGTGGTGTACCGGAGAGCATGCTCAGTACTTTGGGCAGCGTAGGTAACGTGGGGAAGCGCTGCGCATATACTGATATCGCAGCTGGGAGAACAGTCATGTCGGCGTTTGGACTGACAATATATGTGTCGCGTGGTGATAGTGGAGCGACGAGACGTGCGCGCCGCCAATACACAAGATGGCTTGCTATGTACTCCATATCGTGTGCGGATATGTTATGCTTCTTCGAGATCTTGAGTAGCGACTTGGTGGGTATGATGTTGCGTATGTAGAATGCGATGGCTGCGGCGTTGCCACCGGTATCACCGCCCAGGTCTTTGATCAGCACTTCGGCATCCTCCAAAAGCAGCAAGGCGGCATGCTGTGTCATAGGCGCATCATCGTCTTCAAGTATGACGTTCGAGGTTGTAAGCCATAGACCTGGCATCTGGGGTTCGATCGCGGTGGGGAGGTAGGGAGTGGAATCGGCCTGGGGGATCTGGAAGGATGTGTTGAACGTCGCATCGAAGTGGATGTGGGCTATCTTGTCGTGCGAGATCGCGTCGAACATTATAGCGATAGATTTGGCGAGCGGCGACGTGCTGACAATCTTGCGCCATGTCGCAGTCAGCGACTCGTTCGTCTCCTTGGCGCGCTGCTTGATGTCGATGATGCGCTTCGATTCCTTCCACACGTACTGGAAGCGCGCCTCCTCGTACTTGAGTGCTTTGGCATACTTGCGCGTGACGTTTTCGTACATCTCCTTGACGCGTTGCTGGTATTCCAGCGCAGGCGGGTTCAGCACGAAGACGACGTTGAACATGGTCATGTCTGGGTTGTTGATGTCAAGACTCGTCGAGTTGCTGCGTGCATCTGATCCAGCCTCTGATGGTCCACTCGACATGGAGTCGTGGCCGTAGCCTGGCTCGAATCCTGGGACGGGTTCATTCGACGGTTCGGGGGAATTCGCGTCGTCGTCGCTTGCGCTCGTGAGATTCCTGACCAGATCGCCATCTTCAAGCTTCTGCTGATCTGAGCGCTTCTTCTTCTTCTTCCGCTTCGCCTTCTTCCAGAGCCCGTCGTCTCGTACGAACATGGGCGCGCCAAGGAAGACGATGCTCTCAACGCCAAGCTCGAAGCGCCTCTTGTTGTACTCCTTGCTTGGGCTCAACATCTTCTCGAGCGCATCCATCTTGAAGCCCAGCACGGTATCCCAGTCGTGATCTCCACCCTTGCCTCGATGTCCATTGCCGCCCTGGTCGTTCTCATCGTCCGCATCCTCCTCGTCGATTGTCTCCTGCTTGCCCCATAGCCCCGATCCCAGCTTGGACTTGTCGCTCACGCGGCCGGTCAGGGTCCTCCCCGATGCGCGACCGCCGCTGGTGCGACTGCCTATCTCGATATCATTGTCGTCGTCCGAGTCGGTACTGCTGTCCCACTCGCTATCGGAGCTGCGCGAATCGACGCTGGCGGTTGACGTGTCGTGCCGAAACCAGGCCGGGTCTTTCGCGGCGGCGAGTGCGGCAGCTGAGGGTGAGAGCGGCGGATAGTGGAAGACGAGACGGGGGCCGAGCGACCGCGACTTGGTGACGAGGAGGATGGCGTGGAGGTTGGAAGCGGGTGGCAGCGGGACAGCCATTGGAGAGTGGAGGACGGGCAGGTGCAGCATGCGGGGAAAGAAGCTGCGGAGCCCCGGGAGATCTAGCCCGAAGCAGACAGCTCTTTCACTATCATCAACCAGCACCATGCACGCCGAGGTACAAGCGCAACGTCAAGGCGCCGATCCTCACATTCGTGAATCCAAAGACTGCCTTCACGAAATTACAGCGAGCAACAAGGAGAAAGACAGGCACAAATAGCTATAGGGCTCGGCCATTCCACTAATGACCATCGTCGTCTCGTTCGATGAACGAATGGATCAGGATGCACTGTGCATACTCGCGGACTGGCCCGATATACAATGACTTTAGGCGCTACAAGGTCTTTCCAAAGTACTAGAGTAAAGTAGACAATCCCCAGCGCACGTAACAAGTCCTCTTCTCCGGATTCATTCACATATTGTACAGTCTTACCACATAGCGACGGGCCACTAGAACATTGAGGAATGTCTACCATACGGACCTCGCCTCCATACACGCCGCGTACAAATCCAGGCAGTGTACCCACCGCAGACATAACGCAATACTACCTAGACGATGACTTGACGAAGCTCGCAGGCTTCATTACTAGTGTACCCCCGGATCTCTTGTACAACATAATGTCCGCCGCGACTGAAGCCGACCTCAGAGCGCTCCTCGCCCTTATCGACCCATCCGATCTACGCATCGAGCCCGGCTACCTGATGACCAGAACTTGTACGCGCGTGTCAAACTGGCTAAGAAATGGAAGTCAAAGATGGGCGGTGAGTAAGGACGTCATTCCCTGTGCCCTCTTCCTCCTTCTCAAGTTTAGGGTTTTGACGCGCGACGGGGTGTGCAACTCGCAGACGCACGAGGAGAGTCTCAGGCTTGCTGCAGCCATTAAGACTGCGTATGGAAATCTTTGCGACAGCAGGGTAGCGCCAAAGGCGTGGGCCGACATCATGGGTAGACAGTATGCGGACCTTCAGGGCGCTGAGATTGCGTTCTTGAAGGACCTGGACTTCAGGACTTGGGTACATGAGGCTGACTTCAAGGAGTTTGTGGGCAGGTTCGAGATCGTGTGGGAGATGTTGCTTGAAAATCAGGATGACGTTTTCTTTTGACGGCCGCTTGAACCTACTCTCGATAGCGAAAGTGGTCGTAGCGACGATCTCATTATGATCTGAATTTGATTAGGTGTCTTGCAAGCGCTCCCTCGTGCGACATTGAGACAGCACAGAGCCAAGATGTAATGTGAGAACATTGTCGCAGCCACTGGGCTTGATACACCTTAGTCAATAGTACTCATTGCCATAGTGCAGATTCACGACCCTGCTTTCACAACACGACTCGCGTATGCCCTCAAGAAAGGCGTTTCATTCTACTCTCTTTCTCTTCCCCATGTGCGCGTAGTTGACTGACAGCCTTTGCTAACAAGACACCCACGCCTGGATCGACATGGCTCCACAAGCGTCTTCTAACACCGTCAACCACTATCTCGTTCCGCCCCAGCCTTAAACATCGTCTTTCCTTGCTCGTCTCAGCACATTCATCCTACATGCCCCACTCAACGTCGTAGAGTCTACGCTCCGTCCATCGTCAACGGACAGCGGCAAAACCCAACACATCAACCCCAATAGCGACACTCTACGCCCCACGCAATTCATGACAACCGTGTGCCAAGGCCTGCTCCAATTCCTCAATATGGACTTTACCTCTGCTGATCACGCAAGTCCAGATACCATCCCTCTCGCCTTATGTCTACTGCTCCGCTATCGTGTAGCGTCTTCCTCCACATCCCAGCGTGAAGACGAGCGTAGATATGAATATGCGGTCTCAAGTCAAGATGGAAGTGGACTTCTCACTATCCCCATACCCTATACCACCTCCAGATCGTGTTACCGACCAGAGATGAGTGATGCAACGCTTGTTGCGATAGCGGTGCACACCGCGTACAAGTTCCTTGTTCACGATTGGGTGAATTTGGAGCATTGGGCTGTGCCACTTCAGCTGAGTAGACATGCTCTGCTGAGAGGGGAAAGAACGTTTTTGAGAGTGATTGAGTATGCTGTTTGGGTGAGGCAGGAAGAATATGTGCAGATGAAGGGTAAACTCGATGACTTGTGGGAAGAGGTGTTTAAGAGGGCTGTTAGACCGGCGCCTCCGGATTTCGTGATGAAGAGGCTGAAGACGAAGGGATGAGGTATTGTAGCATTGAATGGATTGCTCAGAGTTACGAACCTAGTAACATGAGAACGATATTGAATCAAAGAATTGCGCCAGGTAGACCAAAGTCAACAAGATGCAATGCTATCACGATTGAGGTAACCCAGGAGTGTATTTGACGTTGTCGCATAAACGGCGCGATGGATTACGACACAAAAAGTGCCATGTCAGGCCTGCTTTTTCCTGAATGAGCAATGTCTGCTACTCGACTTGGAGTACACACCCGCAGACGTGCCTCTTCTCCTTATTTGTATGAAAGCCATCGGAGCGCTTGTTCAAGTCGCGAGTATCAAGTCTGATGAAATCGTCGTGATCGTTCCTTCAGGAGAAGGTGTTGACGTGTGTAATGACTGGACACCAGGAGGTCCGTGAGGCCACTTTTGACTTCAGCTACCGCGGATGCCATCAGGGACAACGTTGTGAGTGATGGCATAGCTGGGGATGTCGCATTCCCGCATCGGGTCTTGCTGTACATGAGGTTAAAGACCATGGGGTAAGTGATCAACTTTCCAGCTCCACAGCGACGCCAGATCAATACATTGTCAGCTGGAATTGTCGATACGAATAAAAACAACGGTGCAGAATTCGCCACCGTCAGCCTCGACGCACATCATGCCGCGATCGAGAACGCCGCAAAGACAGGGTGTTGAGAGGCTGTACGGCAGCGACTCCTTATGAATGCCATAACCGTCAAAAGTGATCAGAACCTTGGAAGGCATGAAGTTGCAATGCGTATCTGCGACGATAGTGAGAAGCCAGGCGAGCAGAGTTCCTCCTCGCCTGGATGTGCACACGACCTGAAACACAAGCGGGGGAAACACGATGACGGCGACGATCCATGCCACGCAACTGGTTGGCTCCGGCTGACGGTGATGTGGAAAGGGTGCAGACGCCACTCGCCATGCGACATGCCCGAGTACAGACGCGAGAGTGGTAGGCGCAGAGGGATGGACGTCTGCTTAAGGCTGCGGCGGCAGTCCTGAGGTTGTCTTGCCTCACTACACTCACCTCCGTCGCTCGTTACGAACTGTATGATCATGTGGGCGTCTATTGGGATATGGCTGTTGTTTGCGCAGGTCTTCGCGCTGGGTGTTGCTGCGCATCGCGACTGGTGGCTGCAGAGTCTCCCCCAGTGTTGGCGGGACTGCTTTGGGAACACAGACGACGGCTGCAGTTATAGGAAATGTGAGTTCAACACTATTGTACTTCACCGCACCACGGACTGATGTGGCTCCAGGCATATGTCAAACCAGCGAGAGCAGCACCTCGTACCTCTCCAGCGCAGTCGCGTGCGCCGTATCCTCATGCAAAGCCGACGAATCGGACATCGAACTCGTCCTCGGACCGCTAGAACTCTACTGCGATGCCATCGGCTGCACGATACCTGCTGAGGTGGTGGAAGACGCCTACGCCGCTGTGTCGAGCACCGCCGCAGCCGACCCTCCGAAACCCACGCACGCAGCCCCAACAACCAAGCCCGCCCCCGCCGCACCCAAGCCCACCACCACAACCCAAACCAACGACCATGACGACGCTGGCGCTGATCTGACCAGCGCAATCAGCACGACTATAACAAAGACGTCGACCGATGGCGACGGCAACACGCTGCAGATAATCGTGCCTATAGTCATGGGCCCGACGCAGATTAGCACCGGCAGCATCATCACGTCGACTGTGGCTGGTGGCACGCCCGTGTCCACGATCTCGTCGCCTAGCCCCTCTGCCCAGCCTTCCGCTCCGGTGCCGACACCAGGCGCCTCCTTTACGCAGACATCGTCGGCATCGGGGTCGGAAGAGACAGACCCTCCGCCGGCCAACGGCAACGGTAGCCCGTTCGAGAATATGCAGGCTGGTGCTGGGAGGTGGTCGCTGTCAACACCAGGAATGGCGTTGGGAGCTTTCGCTGCGCTGGTGATGCGCATGTAGATGGTGTCCCAAAGCATGCGACATGACGATTCCGAACCATTTACTTGAGGAATGCGCCAACCACCCCGATGATTAGTGTATTTGCTTTTGGAAGATACGAAGATTCGACAAGGTGAGGTTGTCTCGTAGTGCAACAACCTCTACCGCTCGATTTGCTGTATGATACCTAGATATGATGAATGCTCGATTATGAAAGATTACCACCCCAAGACCGTCCTCACGAGATCAATAAAGTCCTCATTGCGAAGTTGTAGTCAACCCTCGTAAACCCTGATCGCCGGAATGCCAGCGGATGACTTTGGTCCACGCGCATCATTCCACCGCTTTGTCCCCGCAAGCCAATGAAAGCAGATCTAATGCCAAGTCGGTCCTCCAGTCCTTGCACAGGAATGAGACTCGCAAGCTGCACCTTCTTAAGCCCCATCAACACTTCGCATCTCGCCCAGGGCCTATTCTCGTCCCATCTCGCGTGTCCAGCGGATTTGCATGTGCTTCAGCCTCTAGCTCGGCCGACGCAATTCCGACGTGAAAACCTCCGACGGGCGACTTACCTAAAACAGGGCCAACGAATCAGCGTGCTCGCATTCCGCAACGACGACCGAGGCATCTTGCTCTCCAAGCAACAAAGTGGTCCCAACGCGTCCAGGAGGTAGCATTCGGAGCGCGCGAACGAGTCCAGTTTGTTTCAGTGCGTCATTATGCAAACGACGTGGCATGACTGAATTTCTTTCTGATACCTTATAGATAGAGCGGGCTGTCCGGCCACGACGAACGGTCAACACATCGACTTCAACAACCAACGAGCGTTTACTTTGAGTTCTTGGACTTTTACCTTCTACCTTTTACTATTTATCCCTCGACATGGCGGAGCTTGAACCTATCCCCGGCCCTCCTGGCCTGCCCATCGTTGGCAACATCACAGACATCGATGCCACAAACCCCATACAGTCTATGTGTAATCTGACACTGAAATACGGTTAGTGGTTCTCTTTTTGCATACCTACCTTGCTATCCGCTTCCTGCACAGGACTGAGTTTGGCTGCGAATCTGCGAACCGAGAACTAATGAGTGCAGGCCCGATATGGAAGTTCTACCTTGGCGGCGAGCGTGTCGTTATCGCAAACCAAGCTCACATGGACGAGATCTGTAACGAGGAGCGGTTCTCGAAAATCATAGCGGCATCACTAGAACAGGTCCGCAACGGTGTTCACGATGGTTTGTTCACATCCTACGGACCACAAGAAGAGAACTGGGGTATTGCGCATCGCGTTCTGCTTCCTCAACTCGGCCCGCTCGCCATTCGCAACATGTTCAACGAGATGCACGACATTGCGTCGCAACTCGTCATGAAGTGGGCAAGACACGGCCCTGAGCACACCATACATGTTACGGATGACTTCACCCGGCTGACTCTCGACACCATCGCCCTTTGCGCCATGGACTACCGTTTCAACTCCTACTACTACCAAAAGATGCATCCCTTCGTCGATGCCATGGCCGACTTCCTCAAGACCAGCGGAGACCGCGCAAGGCGAGACCCCATTTCGCAGATGTTCTACGGTGCCGAGTCGCAAAAGTATTGGAAAGACATCGAACTGCTCCGCAAGACCAGTCTGGACGTCATCAAGACGAGGAGAGAGAATCCGACTGATAAGAAAGACTTACTGAACGGCATGTTGAACGGTGTCGACTCCAAGACTGGCAAGAAGATGACGGACGAGAACGTCATTGACAACATGATCACCTTCTTGATTGCTGGGCATGAGACAACATCGGGCTTGCTGTCGTTCACCTTCTACTACCTTCTCAAGAACCCCCAGGCGTATGAGAAGGCGCAACAGGAAGTCGATGATGTGATTGGAAAGGGCCCTATCACTGTTGACCACTTGACGAAGCTTCCCTACTTGAACGCTGTGCTCCGCGAGGCTCTTCGTCTCCAACCCACTGCGCCTTCGGTCGGAATGACTGCCAA